CGTTCAGTAGGCCAGCGTGGTGTGGGTATTGTACAGAATAATACAGCCGAAGCCACACTACTCAATTGGATCCCCGTCAACAGCCGCTTATGTGCGATGCAGCTCCAAGAGTCTATCAGCGTCTGGAAGAGAAGCAACAACAAAAGGTGTTTATTCGTCATTTCAGCGTATGCACCGACAAACTGCAGTTCTGACGCACAAAAGGACGATTTTTATGATAAACTCACCGAACTCATTTGGTTGAGCCGAAGCCCCGATATATTTGTTCTCTCAGGTGATTTCAATGCTCAAGTTGGAAAACTGTGCGCATCGGAAGCTTGCCTAGAAGGTCATTGTGCTCCGCCCTGCCAGCGAACAGATAATGGCGATCAACTTCTTCAGCTCTGCGCAGATCATCATCTGTTCCTATCCAGCACCAACTTCCGTCACAGCTCTCAACGAACAGTAACGTGGCGCTCAAATTCAACTGGCTCGCTAACTCAGATCGACCACATAGCTACCGTTGGCGTGGTTCAGTACAAAACCGCAGGTCCTGCATTGAATCTGATCATGTGTTAGTTTTCGTTCAATTTACTCTCCAACTCACTGGTCGCAGAAAAACCCACCAAACTCGATTGGCAGATCACTGCTCATCTGACTCAGCCGTTCGTGCCCGTTTTGAATCAGAACTAGGACAAGAGCTAAATGCGCTGTGAGGTGGTAGTGTAGATGAATAATGGGATCAGATTAGCCGAGCAATACATTCCACAGCGAAGGTTGATTGTGGATCTGAAGCGGTAGCCCGACCGAGGCATTGGATATCTGATCAGTCAGTAGCACTGATGGAGAAAAAGCGGCGAATCCCGACCGCCCGGGATCGGAGCAGGGTTAGGTGGCGTCTGTAACGTGAACTCAAGAAGAGCCTCAAGAAAGACCGTGAGAACTGGTGGACAACGATATCTAGTGAAATTGAAGTAGCAGCTGTATTAGGGAATCGTCAAAGGCTGTTCCAACTGATACACAATACGGGAGGTCGGCGAGCCACAGTTAGTGAAACAATCTACGACTGAAGTGGGCAAGCTATTCACGATAAATAACAACGGCTTGACCGGTGGGCGGAGTACTCCAACGAACAGTTCAGCTGGTCAAGCGTTAACCAAGCTACCCACTCCGATGTAGCTGAGGCTCCGTGGGCAGTGTTAACTGAACCTACTACTGCAGCAGAAGTTTGTGCTTGCATCCAAGCCCTGAAGAAAGGAAAGGAGCAAGACCGGACGTGCTTCCTCCCACTCTTTTCAATATGGGAGGGGCGATGACCTCGTAGACGCCATAACTGATACAATGCGTGACATCTGGTCTCACGAGCGCATTCCATCATCCTGGAGCGAATCGCTGATCGTTCCAATTTTTAGGAAGGGATCTTGTAACGACTGTGCAAACCACCGTGGAATAAGTTTTTTCCCAGTCGGCACCAAGTTACTAGCCTCCATCATACCTGGATGTCTGACACCGTTCAGGGAGACAAACATCCGCGAACAACAAGCAGGATTTCGACCAGGTCGCGGTTGTACCGATCAAATCTTCACCCTACATCAAGTCCTCGAGTTACGCCATAGGCACCGTCGACCAACGGTTGTCGTGTTCCTTGACCTAAAAGCAGCCTCCACTCAATTGATCGTGGGTTCGCTCCTTCGCATAGGAACGCCACAGAAGTATGTGAGCACACTGAGTTCACTCTACTCGCATACTTCTGGTAGCATAAAGGTATACGGCGAGCTGAGTAGGTCGTTCGTAACTAGCGCCGGTGTTCGTCAGGGGTGCCCTCTTTCGCCATTCCTGTTCAATTTCGGAATGAACGAAATGCTAGAGAACGCACTAAGTGGTCTCCAAAATGTAAGTATTGAATGGGTAGCTGGGGAAAAGCTATGCGATTTGTAGCACGCTGATGACATCGTTTGCTTGTTCGAATCTATGAATGATGCACAAAGAGCGCTTGACAGATTAACAACTTCTGTCGCTCCGTTCGGCATGTGCTTTGCACCTTCAAAGTGCAAATCGATGCTGCAAGA